TTGTTCACTACATTTTATAACCAGATTTATTTATGGTGGTAAAGTTGTTTTCGAAGAAATTCAGGATCCTCAACTAGTATTTGATTGTGTAATTGCTGCTGACGAATTGGCAATTCTTGAATTACTTAAATACGCTCAAAAATATCTTTTAGAAACTCAAATAACTTGGTTAAAAGAAAATCTTACATTAATTTATCTTCGTAGTTTTGGTATAGAATCTTTAAGAGAATTACAAGAATTTAGTTTGGATAGAATTAGAAAATATCCAAATTTATTATTTGAAACTGATGATTTTCTTTCTTTAACTGAAGATTCTTTAGAATTAATTATTAAAGATGATGAATTAGAATTAGAAGAATTAACTATCTGGGAAAAATTAATACAATGGGGAATAGCAAAAACTCCAAATTTAGATGATGATATTACTGATTGGACTGAAGAAAATTTCGTTTCACTTGGTAGAACAATTCAAAATTGTGCTAAATATATTAGATTTGATAAGATAGATTCAAAATATTTTTTAGAAAAAGTTGAACCTTATAAAATTTCTTTAGGTACTCTTTATGATGAAATCGGTTTAAAATCTTCTACCAAAAAATCTTTACCAAGTCGTGGTGCTATTGTATCTACTATTATGAGCTCTCAACATGCTGCTATAATTGCAAGTTGGATTGATCGTAAAGATATTAATCCGGATGTTGAAAAATCTTCAAATCTTCCTTTTTATAATCCTTCACAAATTCCTTACAAATTTAGATTACTTGTTAGAGGTAGTCGTGATGGTTTCTCCCCTACTATTTTTCACAAATTTTGTGATCGTGTACGTTCAACTGTCACATTATTTAAATTAGCAAATTCGGATAATTTTGTTGGTGGTTATAATCCAGAAATGTGGGATTCACCTTCATGGCCAAAATATAAATCAAGTGATAAAGCTTTCATATTTTCGTTTACACAAGGAGGAACTAATCTTAATGGACAAGGAAATAATAATGGAAAAATTGGAAGAGTAGTCGATAATGTATACGCATTAAATTGTTGGAGATTTAATGGTCCTTCCTTTGGAAAATACGATTTAGTAATGCATTACGATGGTTTTCTTAGGTTTAAACATCAAACCTTTTCACCTCAAGTTTTACCTGCAGAAAATATTATGATGAAAATTGAAGATTACGAGGTATTTGAAGTTGTAGAAAAGATTAAAGATAAAGATGATAATGTAAAATCGTAGAATTAGATTGAGATTAGATAATTTTCAGATATTTTGGTGTTTGTTTATATTAGATAGAATATATGAGAATTTTTATTGGTGTATATTTATTCTTTAGTGATGACTCTCGAAGCAATATTATCTAATAATGGAGAACGAATAATTCCCTCTGGAAGGGACGAACTTTTATATTCGCGTCTTCAATCAATATATATTCTTATTATTACCATATTATATTATTTTTTAGAAAAAATACAATTAGTATAGGGTCTTTTTTATATATTTAATTAGTCAAAAAGATCCCAAATAAAAGCGTTGTAACATTTAAAATATGAAAATATAAGTTACAGTATTATCACGTTTTATTGTTTGTGTTAACATTACGTATCGGTATTTAGATTACTACGTATTAAACGTTGTCTAGTATGTTTTGCAATGTTTTACAGATATTATAAAATAAAAGACGTGTCGATAAATAACATTTAAATAAAGTTCAAAGAAAATAAAAATTAAAAATTAAATAAGAGTTCTAAGATAATCATGATGAGTTTATGATAAATGTGAAAAAAAAGCATATTAATAATTAAGAGTAATTACGAATAATTAAAAAATAATTAAAAGTGATGATGGTGTAATTAAGAGTGTATAAACACGAATATTAACTATGTCATTATTTTTCCAACGGAATTGGATCTTCTAATTTCAGAGATGAAAAATATTGGTAAATATCAAAATGAGGCTCGTCCTATAAATAATATCGATATTATTAAAAAAAAAAAAAAATAGTAGTTGCGTTTATAAACGGTCCCAAGATTAATTCGATTAACATACATTATTAGAAGATAAATTGTTTGACTCTACGTTATTGACGTTGGCCTCTTTAATATTGGTCTCTTTATTAAATCTTGAAAATATTTTTGTCATGAATTCGAAATTAATTTTCTTTTCGCGTGAATTTTCTATGTAAATAAAAAGTTGTAAACAAACGGCCTAACCTTTTCCCATGAGTACTAAGTTCTAAAGTTTCATCGGGCGAATGTGATGTTTCACCATCACCAAAATAACCAGAGCAACGATGGCAATGAACACATCGACAAGTCTTGAAGGCGGTGCGACAACATGTGCAACAATAGCGACAGTACTTACAATAGTAAACAGTACAATGATAACACTGCGCAAAATAGCGGCAAAAGTAACAGTAACAACAGTAGCGACCATTAACTGAATAACAACATTTTGGACTATTATTATTAATAGATGTGGAATGTCTTTCAATAAGAGTGTAAAGCGGTTTTGACATTTCGACGGTTTTCATGATTATAAAAAATTAAAGATACAATAGATCGATGTTAAAGAGAAAAGTTCTAGCGTCGGGAAGATAATATGCGATAAAGCGTATTATTTATTTATATTATCTATCACTCTGACGTAATACGCACTATAAAAAATTCTGACATTAAATTTGTACTATAAAGCTTTTCATCAAAATAGAATTTTATTCATTCACATGATTATTATTGTGAAAAACCAACATTTCATTACAATGAATAACTTGGAAGATTCTTTTACCTCTTACTGCAGAATTGGTCAAAGTACGCAACGCGCTTCTTAAGGTGAAATTTCTATCGTCAAATTTACGAGCATGTGATCAGACAAGACATTTTTACACATAATTTTGAAAAAAATAAACTGATAACTTTATAATTCAAAATATGAACTACAAAGTTATCAGTCAAAACATATTATTTTTGTAAAGTATTTGCTTCTAAAGTTCATATGTTCGAAACAGATCGCGTACATGTTTATGATAATTTATTGGCCAATTCATTACTGAAATCGAGCATCTATTATCGCACTGTCCTTCAATCAAATAAATTTTCTTAAAATAACTTTTTAAACAAGCTTAGAGGTTCGAGGTATTGTTCAATATTATATATATTATGCTTTATAAAATATTTTTAACAGACAAGAAATTGTTTTTCTGAAATGTAGAACATATTAATTCCTCTTGCATTTTTACTGTATTAAGTATCACTAATTATTGATTATTTTAACCTGTTTAATTATATATACTTATTTGAATTCTCTTATTTTTTACAAATTAAGTTTATTTAATTTGATTAGATAAATACTAAGATATCCAGAGTTGGTTAAACTACTGGTCGACCAAGTCAAATTGGTCAAATAGTCTAGTCTATCACACGACCCAACATATCGTTTCGCAATGGTTAGGATACGTAACAGGTAATACATAATACGTACGTACGTACATAACCGAGGATGGCTAAGGCGTTCATATAATTATTTAATTAGTGTTAGTTTAAGATTAGGCATTATAAAACATTACTCATCCGTATAAGCGCGAAATAACGCGCAGGGGCGTTATTTCGAATGATGGCCCGAATTAAGCTTAATTTGAGGCAAAATTGGAAATTACACGGTAGGCATTTTTTTTTGAGTAAATCAGCTATCTCCCAATTTTATAAGACTGTACGTACGAATATCTCTGGTTAAATAGGTTGAATACAGAAAATATGATATTTTCAAAGCATCTCGCTGGCAAATAATTTAGAAGGCTTAACAGTTTGAAAAATTGCCAAACACTTAGGTGTCAGCAAATATTTTATGAGTCGTAAAACCTCTGTCACTTTTTAGGAAAACCACGGTTTCGATAAATGTTAATAATCTTGATTTTTTGGGATCTTGAGCTACATTTTAAACTAGTCGACAAATTCTTTATTATACCTAGCTTTTCAATATTAACACCTATTCGTATATGTTTATTATAAAGTTTATTCTATATCTGAGGCCTTTTTTATGTTGTCTATATTACCTTTCTATAAAATTTCGCCCAAACTAAACACACCACCTAGTATCGCCCACCAAAATCAGGCACGTAATCGCTTTTTAAATTTCAACCTGAGCAAAAGAATAATCGATTTATGAGAATTTTGAAAGTTTTTTACTTGTTTATTATTATTTATTTGTTTATATTATTATCAGAATTTAAGAATTTACTTAA